CGACAATATCTTTTCTTTATTACCACGGTCTCTTCTCCATTTTTCTCTGAGATATTGGATTCTATTTTACAGTTATTGTCTTTGTTTTTTATTCTCAATTCTTCTCCGTCTTCGTTAACAGCATCTCCATCGTTTGTCTGTTTGTCTATCTGGCATTCTCTTCCGCTTTCTCTTTATCTATTTATATGTCTATCTGTCTATCCGTCCATCTATCTATCTATTTATCTATCTTTCCCTCTCCCTCTCCCACTCTCTCTGGCTATCTATCTATCTGTCTCTCTATCTATCAATATGTGTGTTGTGTGTGTGTGTGTTGTTTTGTCTCTCTCTCTCTCTCTCTCTCTCTCCTCTCTCTCTCTCTCTCTCTCTCTCTCTCTCTCTCTCTCTCTCTCTCTCTCTCTCTCTCTCCTCTATAAATATATATATATATATATATATATATAATATATATATATATATATATATATATATATATATATATATATATATATATATATACACCTTTTCCCCTATTTCTCTTCTCTTTATCCCTCTTTGGCTTCATACAGTTCAATTCTTTCCTTTCTTTTTCTCTCGGCATTTCGGCTAAGCAGTAATTTCCTCTCCTATTTTCCATCCAATCGTTTAAGAACTCCCCTCCTCCTTCTTTCGTTTCATCTTCCTCCACTTTTTCTCTCTTTTTGAAATTCCGTTTTTCGTCCTTTTATTCCTTCCTTATCCTCTTCTTTATCTCCCATCTCAGAGTCTCTAAGAAGCTTTTAAGATTTCCTGTGTGATCCTATCGCATCCTTCTACTTCTGATACCATCTACCCTACACTTTATCCTCTTTTCCCTTTTCTCCTTTTTATTGCTTTGTACTCCTACTTTTTATCACTTTATTTCCATTCACATTTTTTAAACTTTTCCCTTCTACTGATACTATTAACATTATTGTTAATAGTATCAGTAGAAACAGTGGTAACTACTATTGTTCTTGATGTAATGTTGGAACTGTGAACATACCTGCAAACCCTTACCAAAAGTAATATTAGTACCATTAATAAGCTACCTATTTTTTCTTCTTACTTCTGTCGTATTTTCTCTTCCTGTCCATATATTTCTTCTTTTTCTTTCTTTCTTTTGTCAAAAAGATTATTATCATATATCTCAGATCAGGTTCCAGGATTTAACACTACACTCCATGGCCCTTTATTTGTCGCAGATTCTACTAATGGTGTAAAAATGCACACACACACACACACTCGCACACACGCACGGACACACACACACACATGCACACACACACACACACACACACAACACACACACACACACACACACACACACACACACACACACACACACACACACACACCACACACACACACACACACACACACATACACACACACACACACACACACACACACACACACACACACACACACACACACACACACACACACACACACACACACACACACACACACACACACACACACACACACACATACACACACAGACCAACGCACACACCCACACACGCACAGCACAGTGATTGAGTGGAGGTGGAAAGGATAGGAAACAGAGGGAAATTGAGTCATAAATCACACAGGACTTTAATCTAATAGAAAATATAGATGGCCGAAACACGGGACAAAAAGTCTAGGATTTATTCCCCGAGAGAAAGAGCATAAAAATGACGAATGGGAATAATCGCAAGAGTGTAAAAAAAAAAAATGGCTGACGATTATAGAGATGGAGCGAGAGGTGGGCAGAGAGGAGGCCTGTGGTTTCCTGAAAAGCGGGAGAGGGAGAGGGAGAGGGAAGGAGAGGGAGGAGGGAGATGAGAAGGAGAGAGTGGGAAGGGAGAGGGAGAAGAGGAAGGAGGAGAGGGAGAAGGACGATGGGACAGAGTAGGAAAGAGAGATGGAGAAGGAGAAGAGAGAGTGGGAAGGGAGAGGGAGGAGAGGGAGAAGTACGACGGGATAGAGAGATTAGGCAAGAGAGAGGGAGAAGGGAGGTGAGAAAGAAAGAGTGGGAAGGGAGAGGGAGATGGATGGTGGGATAGAGAGAGTAGGAAAGGAAAGGGAGAAGGATGATGGGATAAAGAGAGTAGGAAAGGGAGAGGAAGGAGAAAGGGGAGAGGAGAGGGGGAAAAGGGAGGGAGAAGGATGGTGAGATAGAGAGAGAAGGAAAGGTAGAGGGAAAAAGAGAAGCGGGAAAGAATAAAGTAGGAAAGGGAGAAAGAGAAGGAGGAGAGAGAGAATGGTGGTGGTGAAGACAGTAGGAAATGGAAAGGGAGAAGGATGGTGGGAAAGAGAGAGTAGGAAAGGGAGAAGGAGAAAAATGTGGGAAAAGAAGTGGGATAGAGAGAGGAAAAAAGACGAAGGAAAAAGAGACGGAGAGGATGAGGACAGATAGAGGGAAAGGAAGTGGAGAGGTGGGAGAAGAAAGAACGACAAACGAAAGTAGGAAAGGGAGAGAGAGGGATAGGGAGAAGGAGAGGGAGAGGGAGAAGGGGAAGGGAAGAAAGAGAGTGCAGAGGCACAGAGAGACAGACGGACAGACAGACAAAATAAAAGAGAGAGGGAGAGAGACAGACAGAGAGAGAGAGAGAGAGAGAAAGAGAGAGTGAGAGTGGTGACCCAGAAATGGAGGAGGGGGAGGGACGGGAGGGAGAGACATGGAGGAAGTAGGGCGGAGGGAGAGTGGTGGAGGCAGATGCATGGAGAAAGAGTGGCGGAGGGAGCGGGATGAAGGAGAGGGGGGTGAGGGATAGGGAGGAAGGGAGAGGGGCAAGGGATAGGGAGGAAGGGAGAGGGGGTAAGGGATAGGGAGAAAGGGACAGGGAGGAAGGGAGAGAGAAAGCAGCTTCCACAGTAATTCCTTCCACAGCAGAAGAAAGCGCCTCGGCCACTGTTATTTAGGGCCTTCGTCACCTCCCTTGGCGTCCCTGTGAGGGAGGAGGAATAGGAGGGAGCGAGGGGAGATGGGGGGGGGTAAGGGTCGAGCATTTCCAGGGAGGAGAGAAGGAGGAGGTAGAAAGGGTCCCCTAAGGAAGTAGGGATCATCGGAACTTCCTTCTTTGTTTTTAGTTTGCTTGTTTTTTTTGTTTTTTTTTGGTTGTTTTGTTGTTGTTGGTGTGATAGTACTGATAGCGTAAGATATACCTTACAACATGCGTAGATACACTACCCTCTCATCCGCCACCCCCTTCACCCTCAACCCCCTCCCCAACCTCATCCTCATTCCTCATCCTTACAACCCTCCCCCCTTCACTCTCACCCCGCCAACCTCATCCTCATTCCTCATCCTTACCCTCCTCTCTTCACCCTCAAACCCTCTTATACCCTCACCCACACATCAACACACGCCAAGCCTTTCATTTCGTCACCCACATAAAGCAACAAACAAAGAAACACACATAACAAACAAGCCATTTTCTTCTAAGCATATTCCGGATTTTGGAGTAAAAGGAAAAAAAAGAAAAGAGATGAAGGAGAGGAACGAAGAGAGAGAGAGAGAGAGAAGAGAGAGAGAGAGAGAGAGAAGAGAGAGAGAGAGAGAGAAGAGAGAGAGAGAGAGAGAGAAGAGAGAGAGGAAGAGAGAGAGAGAGAGAGAAGAGAGAGAAGAGAGAGAGAGAGAGAGAGAGAGAGAAGAGAGAGAGAGAGAGAGAGAGAGAGAGAAGAGAGAGAGAGAGAGACAGACAGACAGACAGACAGACAGACAGACAGACAGACAGACAGACAGAAACAACAGACAAGACAGAGAAAGAATCATAGCCCCCGAATACTCGATGCGGGAAAGGCATTG